TCTGCCGATCACGCGCCGGCCTTCTTGTTTCACCCAACATAAGAATACGGGCGCCAAGAAATGCGTGTGCTTCAGACTGCCGACGACGCGTAGGTCTTGTCGTTTCACCAGGCACAGGCATATGGACGCCAAAAGGTACATGATATTCTGTCTGCCGACGACGCGCAGGTCTCGTCATGTCACTCAGCACAGGCATACGGGCGCCAAGAAATACATGTGCTTCGGAACGCCAACGACGCGCAAGTCTTGTCGTTTCACCCAACACAAAGGTACCGGCGCCAAGAAGCACGTATGCTTCTGTCTGCCGATCACGCGCCGGCCTTCCTGTTTCACCCAACATAGGAATAAGGGCGCCAAGAAATGCGTGTGCTTCAGACTGCCGACGACGCGCAGGTCTTGTCGTTTCACCCAACACAAGAATACGGGCGCCAAGAAGCACGCATGCTTCTGTCTGCCGATCACGCGCCGGCCTTCTTGTTTCACCCAACACAAGAATACGGGCGCCAAGAAGCACGCATGCTTCTGTCTGCCGATCACGCGCCGGCCTTCTTGTTTCACCCAACACAAGAATACGGGCGCCAAGAAATGCGTGTGCTTCAGACTGCCGACGACGCGCAGGTCTTGTCGTTTCACCCAACACAAAGGTACGGGCGCCAAGAAGCACGAATGCTTCTGTCTGCCGATCACGCGCCGGCCTTCTTGTTTCACCCAACACAAGAATACGGGCGCCAAGAAATGCGTGTGCTTCAGACTGCCGACGACGCGCAGGTCTTGTCGTTTCACCCAGCACAGGCATATGGACGCCAAAAAGTACATGATATTCTGTCTGCCGACGACGCGCAGGTCTCGTCATGTCACCCAGCACAGGCATACGGGCGCCAAGAAATACATGTGCTTCGGAACGCCGACGACGCGCAAGTCTTGTCGTTTCACCCAACACAGGCATATGGACGCCGAAAGGTACATGATATTCTGTTTGCCGACGATGCGCAGGTCTCGTCGTGTCACCACTCACAAGAATACGGGCGCCAAGAAATACGTGTGCTTCGGAACGCCAACGACGCGCAAGTCTTGTCGTTTCACCCAACACAGGCATATGGACGCCGAAAGGTACATGATATTCTGTTTGCCGACGATGCGCAGGTCTCGTCGTGTCACCACTCACAAGAATACGGGCGCCAAGAAATACGTGTGCTTCGGAACGCCAACGACGCGCAAGTCTTGTCGTTTCACCCAACACAGGCATATGGACGCCGAAAGGTACATGATATTCTGTTTGCCGACGATGCGCAGGTCTCGTCGTGTCACCACTCACAAGAATACGGGCGCCAAGAAATACGTGTGCTTCGGAACGCCAACGACGCGCAAGTCTTGTCGTTTCACCCAACACAAAGGTACCGGCGCCAAAGAGCACGTATGCTTCTGTCTGCCGATCACGCGCCGGCCTTCTTGTTTCACCCAACATAAGAATACGGGCGCCAAGAAATGCGTGTGCTTCAGACTGCCGACGACGCGCAGGTCTTGTCGTTTCACCCAACACAGACTTATGGGCGCCAAAAGTACATGATATTTCGTTTGCCGACGACGCGCAGGTCTCGTTGTGTCACCCAACACAAGAATACGGGCGCCAAGAAATACGTGTGCTTCGGAACGCCAACGACGCGCAAGTCTTGTCGTTTCACCCAACACAAAGGTACCGGCGCCAAGAAGCACGTATGCTTCTGTCTGCCGATCACGCGCCGGCCTTCTTGTTTCACCCAACATAAGAATACGGGCGCCAAGAAATGCGTGTGCTTCAGACTGCCGACGACGCGCAGGTCTTGTCGTTTCACCCAGCACAGGCATATGGACGCCAAAAAGTACATGATATTCTGTCTGCCGACGACGCGCAGGTCTCGTCATGTCACTCAGCACAGGCATACGGGCGCCAAGAAATACATGTGCTTCGGAACGCCAACGACGCGCAAGTCTTGTCGTTTCACCCAACACAAAGGTACCGGCGCCAAGAAGCACGTATGCTTCTGTCTGCCGATCACGCGCCGGCCTTCTTGTTTCACCCAACATAAGAATACGGGCGCCAAGAAATGCGTGTGCTTCAGACTGCCGACGACGCGCAGGTCTTGTCGTTTCACCCAGCACAGGCATATGGACGCCAAAAAGTACATGATATTCTGTCTGCCGACGACGCGCAGGTCTCGTCATGTCACCCAGCACAGGCATACGGGCGCCAAGAAATACATGTGCTTCGGAACGCCGACGACGCGCAAGTCTTGTCGTTTCACCCAACACAGGCATATGGACGCCGAAAGGTACATGATATTCTGTTTGCCGACGACGCGCAGGTCTCGTCGTGTCACCCATCACAAGAATACGGGCGCCAAGAAATACGTGTGCTTCGGAACGCCAACGACGCGCAAGTCTTGTCGTTTCACCCAACACAAAGGTACCGGCGCCAAGAAGCACGTATGCTTCTGTCTGCCGATCACGCGCCGGCCTTCTTGTTTCACCCAACATAAGAATACGGGCGCCAAGAAATGCGTGTGCTTCAGACTGCCGACGACGCGCAGGCCTTCTCGTTCCACCCAACACAAAGATACGGGCGCCAACAAGTACGTGTGCTTCTGTCTGCCGACCACGCGCCGGCCTTCTTGTTTCACCCAACGCAAGCATACGGGCGCCCAGAAGCACGTATGATTCTGTCTGCCGATCACGCGCCGGCCTTCTTGTTCCACCCCACATAAGAATACGGGCGCCAACAAATGCGTGTGCTCCAGACGGCCGACGACGCGCAGGTCTTGTCGTTTCACCCAGCACAGGCATATGGACGCCAAAAGGTACATGATATTCTATCTGCCGACGACGCGCAGGTCTCGTCATGTCACCCAACACAAGCATACGGGCGCCAAGAAGTACGTGTGCTTCTGAACGCCGACGACGCGCAAGTCTTGTCGTTTCACCCAGCACAGGCATATGGACGCCAAAAGGTACATGATATTCTATCTGCCGACGACGCGCAGGTCTCGTCATGTCACCCAACACAAGCATACGGGCGCCAAGAAGTACGTGTGCTTCTGAACGCCGACGACGCGCAAGTCTTGTCGTTTCACCCAACACAAAGATACGGGCGCCAAGAAGCACGTATGGTTTTGTCTGCCGATCACGCGCCGGCCTTCTTGTTCCACCCCATAAATAATACGGGCGCCAAGAAATGCGTGTGCTTCAGACTGCCGACGACGCGCAGGCCTTCTCGTTCCACCCAACACAAAGATACGGGCGCCAACAAGTACGTATGTCGTTGTTGTTGCTGCTTCTGCTGGCTGCTGGTTGGTTGCTGGTTGCTGTTAGTTGTCGTTTCCGATTGTACCCATCCTGTAGGCCATCCAAGTCGCCACAACATCACGTACGTAAACCCTCAACAACCATCGAAAGGCGCGCACCACGCCCCCCATTATTCCGAACCGGTCAGGCACAAGGCGGCCGACGCTCGAGACCGACCGGGAGCGCCCGAGAAACGTTGCACCTACACTGCGCTCAAACGTCCCCCCTTGCGCCCCATCCGGCCTCACGAGCCCTGCTTCAAAAATAAATGTGATGAGACTCAGGCGTGAGCTCATCAGCAGATGACTGCGACGACAATACTGACTCAATTGTCTATTGGATGCTCTAGCCCCAGAATTGCTCTGATGATGAAAACTGACCCTTATCCCGGCACTTCCCTCAATCATTCATTCTGTCCATCCGCCCCATCCCGTCAATCCGATCTCACAATCAATTTTTTTATACGCAGGTTTCTCAACACATATCCGACGTCGGGGAGAACGTAGACGACGGTATCCTGGAAGATTCAGCGAAAGCAATCGTCGGCGCGGTGGAGAGTGTGGCGAACAACGAGATAGTCCAGAATGCCGGGGAGGTGGTTGGGGATGCGGTGGGCGTCGTGCACGACGCTCTTCGAGAGGGTGTCAAGACGGGGACGGAGGTCGTCCACGGAGCAGTCCGCGCCATGAACCAAGCAGGCGGGGTTGCCTCTCGAGGCATGCCTGACATCGAGGGCGTAGAAGAACGTGCCGAGAGTTACGCCGATTTGATGGAAACCCAAGCCGAATGGGCTGACTCTGCCGCGGAGGCCTTCGACCGGGCCCGGGAAAACGCCCCAGACGTCCTCAGAGCTGTCGACCCTGACGGAACGCTGGAAGAAGTGGTCGAAGAAGTGACCCAAGAAGCAGGGGAAGCCGTCGTGGAAATCTTGGGGGAGAAGTAGCAGAAGAGTTGTTGGAGGCGGCAGTCGGAAGTATTCCCGTCGCGGGTGCCCTAATCCCCTCGTACTACCTAATGCACGGGGTGTGAAGGCCTCCGCCGGAGTAACCAGCCTGGCAGCGGCAGGCACGATGACTTTGGTTTGAGGGGTGTACGGCATCGTGGCGGCGCCGTTCGACGGTGGGGCATCCTGGGGCAATGTCGCGAACCCTTCGAGGGGGGTCTCTGTTTGGGTCGCGAGCATAGGCGCAGAGGGCGGACTGATTGCCGCCAAGGGCGCGATGGGATTCGCGGACCAGGTATCTATATACAACGTATGCCCCCCCCTCCCCCCCCCCCCCCCCCCCCCCCCCCCCCCCCCCCCCCCCCCCCCCCCCCCCCCCNCCCCGGTGTTTGCCATCGGGGTTGGGTTTTCGTGGCTTGGCAACGACGTTGTAAAACAAGCCGCCCCACCCCAATCTAGACTTCAGTGAGTTGGCGCTGTTGGCAAAGCGCTGTAAAACACGCCACCAAATATAGCCCCCATTCTCCCTTCTTCCCCTCGCTCCTCGACAAGCTTTTGCTTAGACATGGGTTGCAGTGAAGGTTTGGGTCTTTCTGGCGAGCAGGGCTAGACTCACCCTCAAGGGATGACCGAANAAATATAGCCCCCATTCTCCCTTCTTCCCCTCGCTCCTCGACAAGCTTTTGCTTAGACA